TGGGCTGTCAGTCACCACTGCTGCAGCTCCTGAAGGAGACACGGGTAGGAAAACCTTGGGAAGGACAAATGAGCGCTTTGCTGCTTGTAAAATAAATCAGGTGGGTTTTCTTAAGTGGGAGAGACAGTTTGGTATCTCACTTAAGAAGCAGTCTGGGAAGGAGGAAAGTAACTGTGACTTCTTCGTAGGGAGCAAAGGCAGGGAGTAGAGTCCAGAGGGACAGGGATGACACTCAGGGGACAAGATGGTGGCACAAACACTGACAGCTCAGCACGGGGGAGGGTCACAGCGAGGGAGGAGATGCTCCGTGGCTGCCGTGAAGGGGGGTGAGCATAGTGTGGGCTTCTTCATCACGTAACCGAGCCCTGCTCTGCCTCGGGCAGGTTAAGAAAGCCCTTTGTGTCCTCATCCAACACAACCTGGTGACGTACCAGCTGCAGAAGCGAGGTTTCGTGGAGTACGAGGCCCAGTGCAAGCGGGTCCTGAGGATCCTCCGCTACCCGCGTTACATCTACACCGCCAAGACCCTCTACAATGACACGGGCGAGCTCATCGTGGAGGAGCTGCTCCTCAACGGCCAGATGACAATGAGCGCGGTGGTGAGGAAGGTGGCGGACAGGCTGACTGAAACGATGGAAGGTGGGAATCTCCTCTCCTTAAAAAAAGGGATCTGGGAGCGGGAGGAGGAACAGTGTTTGCCGGAGGCTGGTTTTGCTCAGTGAAGGAGGCTCTTTGGGCTGCGTTACCCTGGAAAGTTGGCCACGAACTTGAAAAAGGAGCCACCCAAAGTGGCCTCGCTGCCAGAGGGGTTATAAATGCTGCCCCCCGCCTCAAAACAGCCTCTGAGCAGCCCGGTCATAGCGGTTCTCTGGGGACCACAGCGTCACCTCGTCCTCTGGAGCTGCTGGAACGACCTGGGGCTGGCAGAGCTTGATGCCACCGTCTCTCTCCTGATCCTCTAGACGGGAAGACCATGGATTACGCTGACGTCTCCAACACATTTGTGCGCCTGGCGGACACACACTTTGTGCAGAGGTGTCCGCTGGTCCCTGAAACCCCTGAGAGCCCCGATGCGCCGCCTCCCCCTGCGCCCACATTGGTGATCAACGAGAAGGACATGTACGTCGTGCCCAGGCTGAACCTCGTAGGTGAGAAGCCCCTCAGGGTAACCCTGGGTGTAGAAGCCAGGGAGCCGAGTTGCTTGCAAGTCACATTTATAATGGTGCGAGACCGTGACAGTAGCTTTTAAAAGCAAATGCCATCATCTTTGTTTGACAGGGAAAGGGAAGCGGAGACGATCGTGCGACGAGGAAGAGAACAGTGAACACAAGGCTAAAAAGCAAAAGCGAGATGGAGAAAGCTCAGAGGTACTGAAGCAACGTCGCCCGCGGCTCTGCGGGGCCGTAAATCAGAGGCAGCTGCCTGTCGGGCAGGACGCTCCGTCTCCCGCAAGTAACCTTTGCTGGGGACGCGCCTCTGTCCCTGGCTGAGCTCCTTCCTCCTCTGAGCTCATGGGCTGGAGGGATCCAGCATCTTCCCAAACACGCTCTTCTGGGGAAACCAAACGAGCAGTTTGGTATATCCTCTCATGCAGTTTTGTGACTCCCTCAGTTTGGTGGCTCCTCTCCCTCTCGCTGTTCCCCCACAGCCTCCACCCGACGATGGCATTTACTGGCAAGTCAACATCGACCGGTTCCACCAGCATTTTCGAGACCAGGGGATCGTCAGCGCCGTGGCCAACCGCATGGATCAGGTTCGTGGAAGCGCTCAGAACCCTCCTGCGGTCGCTCTCTGCGTCAGGGTGGGAGCTCGATGGTCGTGGTGGGGAGGTTTCAATCCCCGCTGCGGGGCAGGCAGGGGTGGCCCACGTTTGGTTGCTGCTGCGGGAAGAGCGCAGGACAGAGGTTCTCCCGCACTAACGACAATTTCCTTCCCCCCGAAACCAGACCAGCAGCGAAATAGTGCGGACGATGCTGCGGATGAGCGAAGTCACCACGTCCTCCAGCGCGCCGTACACCCAGCCGCTCTCTTCCAACGAGGTGGGTTCCTGCCCCTGGAAGTCAGGGTGTAGCCGAGGACTTTCTCCACCGGCACGGCTGCGGCGCTGCGTTTTGATCGGGCAGAAAAAGTCTGTAAAGCACCTGCAGATTCAGAAAGGTGCTTATTCTATTTTACCCCCCTTATATCCTGCCTGCTTTCCCTCCCGTAGATATTCAGATCACTTCCAGCCGGGTACAACATCGTGAAGCAAGTTTTGGACCAGTACCTCACCCTGTTAGCAGACGACCCGGTAAGAAATGCGGAACTCGGTTGGGTAAAGACGTTAAATGCCGCTCGCCGGCGGCTCCTCGCTGAGCTCCCTCCACCCCAAATCCACTTGCTGCCTCCCTTTAGCCACGCACTGGGGAGAGCTCGGACTGAGGGAAAACCAGTTTTCCACTGATATTTAGAAGATACTGGAAGCGTTAAAAAAACACGGCTGCTGTTCTTAGCTTTTAAGATCAGAGATGTAAATTTTTTTTCCCATAAAATCTATGTATTACTTCTTACAATCAAGATTTTTATTACTTTAGGATGTACTGAACTTCTTTCTTTTTCTTGTAGCTCGAGTTTGTGGGTAAATCCGGGGACAGCGGCGGCGGCATGTACACTGTCAGTATCCTTTGTGGGTAAACTACCTGAGACGGCGTTTCCCAGCGCGTAAAACCATTCCTGAGTGCCGGTGTTATCCCTTGACCTTGATCTTGTGCAGATCTTCACAAGGCCCTGGCCTCGCTGGCGACGGCAACCCTGGAGTCCATCGTGGAGGAGAGGTAAAGCGGTGATTTGAAGGTTTCCGGAACTTTCCTCTCATCCATCCGCTGATTTATTTAACTCTCCGGTTCAGGTTTGGTTCCCGCTGCGCCAGGATATTCCGTTTGCTCCTGCGAAAGAAGCATTTGGAGCAGAAGCAAGTGGAGGATTTTGCCATGATCCCAGCCAAGGAAGCCAAGGACATGCTCTACAAAATGCTGTCGGAGAATTTCGTCTCCCTGCAGGTGACGGATGTTTCCGAGCGTCGCTCCCGTAAGCGAGGGACACTACGCCCCGCACGGGACGCCGGCAAAACGCCGGCTGCGTCCCCAGCCCCGTGTAGCTCAGGTGGGGCCGTACTGCACGATGAAGACCTTCTCCTTCTCTCACCCACCGGTAGGAGATTCCCAAGACTCCCGACCACGCGCCGTCCCGCACCTTCTACCTCTACACCGTGAACGTCCTGTCCTCCGCCCGGATGCTGCTGCACCGGTGCTATAAGGTACATCCCAGTCACCGCCGGGAACGCTCCCGGAGACCCGCCAGTGGCTCTGCTCGGTCCGCCTGTCCCCAACAGCCACTGGCACCAGCCTGGTCCCTGTCGGGTCCCCACATGGCCTCTGTCCACACCAATATTCCCAAGTCGAGGGGGGCATCCAGGCCCCCAAGGGTGCTCCTGCTCCAAGCCCAGTGTCTCTCCACCAGTTCCACCACCACCACCACGCATGGTTCTCCTCCAGCACCACCACCATGCGTAGTTCTCCACCACAACCACGCGTGGTTCTCCTCCACCACCATCACACATAGTTTGCCACCACCACACGTGGTTCTCCTCCACCACCACCCCCACACGTAGTTCGCCTCCACCACCATGTGTGGTTCTCCTCCACCACAACCACCGTCACACATGGTTCTCCTCCAACCACCACCACCACCATCATGATACGCAGTTCTCCACCACCACCATGACGCGTGGTTTTCCTCCACCACAACCACCACCACACGTGGTTCTCCTCAACCACAACCACACGTGGTTTGCCACCACCATGCGTGCTTGCCCACCACCACGCGTGGTTCTTCACCACCATGGGTGGTTCTCCTCCTCCACCACCATCACACGTGGTTCTCCTCCACCACAACCACCACCACCACGTGTGCTTCTCCTCCTCTTCCACCACCACCACGTGTGGTTCTCCTCCTCCACCACCACCTATGGGTGAGGGCGGCTGTTGGGCCATCCCTGCA